ACTTTCTACAAGAGATATTTTGGGAGTGTGGATGAAAGCCTAGTTATCATGGATTCTAAGGAGATTGCAAAAAGAAATTAAGATAGGAAAAAATGGGACCAGCAGTTAGCATAATGGCTATGTGGCTGGACTCCCACATAGTCGACTGTGATTCAAGTCCTGGACCCAGAGGCTTAAACTCATGCTGGGTGCGTGTGCGTGCGTGCCCAAGATCCTGAGAGGAGAATGGAGGAGAAGGGATTACGGCGTGGCCATCCCCCTTGGGGGGTGATTTCTCGCTTTCTGTCTCTCTGTCTCTCTCTGTCTGGCGAGTGCACGCGCCCTATAGCAAAACCTCTCCCAAAATAAATAATAAATAAATAAATAAAGATAGGAGAAATAAGGACTTTTGTTGGGAAGGGAGATATATAATGTGGGCAGCGAAGGGGACTTCAAGGGAAGTTTTAGTTAAATATGGATGTTATTACTGAGAGTGTACAAATCATAATATTCCATCAGAGAGTGGAAAGGTGTCATGGAAGACAAAGTGAATCATTATAGAAGCAGATGGGATCCAGAGAATGAGCAAGGGCCTACATAGGAGTGCCAACATTCATTCATTGTAACAGGAGGAAGGTGGACAGGACAGCTTGGTAGATGTGAAGGTAGCAGGATGCCAGGTTTCTCTTCTGATGCGTTCTACTGTCTCAGCAGGGAGTGAGAACAAGGTGGGAGTACTAGAGGGTTAGTGAGAGAGAAGGTCGTATGAAGTAGTCATCCTTGAAAGAAGAGTGAATTGGATAGAGAAGTGGAGTAGTATTGCCAGGTAGCACTGAGGGCCCACTGGAGGGTATGGTCATGAATTTAAAAAGAAGCACTTAGCCTGACTGTTCCATTCTCTCATTTAGCTGTTTGGGTTTGGCATAGATTTAGGGTTAACCAAAGTTAGAAGTCTTACTTGTCCAATAAAACCATGCCAAAAAAGGCAGGAAAGTTGAAGGTAATGTAGAATTGTGACTTTTAAATAATGAAGCATGGAACCAAGTCCTGCAAGGAGGGAAATGAGCAAACCAGGGGCGATGGATAGTGCAAGTGTGCTTAGAGGATCCACTAGGGTTGAGGGATGGTTAGGATCAAAATATTCTGAGAAGAGGACAGCAGATGGCGTAGTGGATGTGTAGCTGGATTCCCACATGGCTGACCACGATTCAAGTCCCAGACCTGGAAGCTTCAAACTCATGCCAGGTGTGTGTGCGTGTGTCCCAAGATCCCTGCAGGTGAAGGGCCGTCCTCCCCGGGTGTGTGTGTGTGATTTTTTGCTTTCTGTCTCTCTGTCTCTCTCTGTGTCTCTGGTGATTACACATATTCTATAGCAAAAATCTCTCAAAAATATTCTGAAAATAAGTCATAAGAAGGAAATTATGTTTAAAATCGAGATTTAGGGGAATGTACAGTTCCTTGTAAAAACTTGGTTTCAGGGCAAATCACAATGTTAAGAACTGAAACAGGATGGAGGACAAGACCACTTGTAGCTAGGAGATGAAGACCCTGAGGCCATGTTGGACCAAGGAATAGGAAAAAGAAGAAGAGCAACAGAAAATCTTTAAACTTTGCAGGTGGTGTGTGTAGCTGCTTCTTAGTTATTAAATACTCTCTGCAATGTCAGATATGCATAAGCCAGCTAAAGTCCAGAATCACCCAACCTTCCCCCACATTAAGCAGGGTCTTCTGACATGGCATGTCTCGGATGCTTGCCAGGCCATGTGCTTTCTGTTTAAACTTTCATGAGTGGTACCCAGTTTCTGTCTCATGCCCACACACCCCATGTAGGTTTATCTGCTGTACTCAAGAGGCTTTTATTGGCAACAACACTCCTTTGAGGTGTCTACCTGACTCACAGATGTCTTTGGTCCACCAGCTATAATGAGCAGCCTCCATTGACTTGTTGAGCTGAGGGCGGTAATGAGTTCTTCCAGTCAGTCAGCATCTATCCAGAAAATGAGTTCCAGTGATCTTGCAGATCATTTGTCTGAGGGGTTCTTGTAGCCTCCTTCTCCTGATTAATACCTTTTATCAGATAAATCTTTCTTCCCATGAGATCCTCTAACCTGGTCTTTTACATAGTCAGAGGTAAGAGATGAAGGGAGGGATTATAGGACTGGCTGATAGTCTCTCTCTATCCAAACAATGAGTGGATGTTGGTCAACTTTAGTCCTGGTATCCCAGCCAAAACTGGGGCTTTTCCTTTGAAATCTCACTTGTTTTCTATGGTTTTGCATGTTCTTTATCTAACAGCCAATTACATGGAATCCCACAACTATAAAGTTAAAATTCAGTACTATTGCTTTGTTTCTTTTTTTCTGGAAACTCAGCAGTTTGCAGACTATAGTGTATTTAAGATAGGAAAATCTGATTTATGTCCAGAATTGAGATAAAAGTTCTGTAAATAGCTTTCTAGAAAGTACTTAAAGAAGCATAAAGCATGATGAGGTGAATGTTTTCTTCATGCTGACTTCCCAGAAAACAATAGATGTTAGTTTGTAGGCACAAAGGAATTTAGTATTCAATTTGCTGCTTGTATTTTTATGTGAGTTTGGATTGGTATATGTTTTCTTAGCTTGATCATGTCTGACTTAGATGTGGTGATATTTATTTATCTGTGGTTTATCCCAAGTTATATATTATTTCTCTGGATTCTTACTCTTTATCTCTATCCAAGTGTATTATAAACTGTATTATTGTCTTCAGAATGCTTTAGCATTTTCCTCCAGTTCTCAGACCTTTCAGTTGCTAGAAAAGCACCAGGCTCATTTTCCATTCTAGAGTCCCTACATGTGTTGTCTTCTGTCTCTTTCATTTTCGTCCCTGCATCCCAACCCTCACACACATGTACCTAACTTCTTTTCATCCTTCATCCATGTCTTAACCTAAACACAGCACTTCCTTAGGGAAACTCCTTTCACAATTCCCATTTCCCTTATATACAAATCAATTTTTCTCTTTCTTTAAAGTATTTATCACCCTTTAAAATAAGAATAAGTTTATTTACCTATTTGGTGCCTTTCTAACACACAAAACTATAGGCTATATGAGGATAGGGCACAAATGTTTTAACAAAGTATCTTAAATATAGTTGACATTCGATAAATATTTGTTGAACAAATTAATGAAAAATCCACTGACTCTACTAATAATGAATTTGAAGTGCTTCGTTAGTGTACTTGGGGCCATCTGAGGTTGTGTAGGCTGGAGAAACTTGATAAACCTAAAGAAGTCAGGTTCCCTTCAGAGATTGAGTATTTCAATATTCCAGCTTTAAAATGTATTTAGTTTCTTTGGAGAGATTTTTGCTATAGAGCACATGCACTGAACAGACAGAAAGCTAGAAATCACACCCCAAGGGGGATGGCCACACCACAGTCCCTTCTCCTCCTTTCTCTTCCTGAGATCTTGGGCACGTGTTCAGATGTACCCAGCATGAGCTTCCACCCACCAGGTCCAGCTTCAAGACTCACATTATAGTTGACCATGTGGAAGTCCAGTGACATAACCGCTACAGCATCTGCTGGCCTCTATTAGGTAGGCCCCCATTTAGATTTTTTGTATTGTTTTGTTTTGTTTAATAGAGATTTTTGCTCTAGGGCATGTGCATTCACCAGAGAGACAGAGAGAGGTAGGGAGACAGAAGATGAGAAATCATCCCCTGGGGTGGGGGAGGATGGCCATACCACAATCCCTTCTCCTCCATTCTCTTCTCAGAATTTTGGACATGCATGCACACATGCCTGGCCTGAGTTTTAAGCCATAGGGTCTGGCAGGGTCTGAGACTCAAACCATAGTCAGCCATGTGGGTGTCTGGCAATGTAACCATTATACTGTCTACTGGTTCTGGTCCCCATTTAGTTTTAAAAAACCCAGTTAGGTGTGAATGGGAGGTAACTTGAAACTTACGTAGAAAATCTTCACTTGCAATTTTAGTTTTGGTAGGATAAGTGTGCTGCTCATTACCATAATGGACATGTTGTTTACATAGGCACTGACTTTCAGGAAACTAACCACTCTTGAAACCACAGCTTAGGAGCTACAGATGATCAATCAATAGAGCTATTATGAAATAAAATGAAAGGCCTAGGTAGAATGAAATTATTTTGAGACTTCTCCCCCATTCATTGAAATTTTATACTATGATATTTTGCCATTGTTTAACTTTGGTATATTGCTAGTTACCTTTTAAAATCATTAAGTGGCTAACAGATATGCTTTTAAAGATTAAGTATTTAATTTGTAAAATAAATAAAATGTCTAAGTAATATTTTAAAATTAAACAATAATTCCCTGTTTCTTTCCTATCACCTAATTTCCATTTGGATCTGTTAATCAAAACATTTTAGTGTTAATCAAAACATTTTTAAATCCTGCACCTTATTAAGGTTCAGAACTTCAAAATAAATATTTCTATGTTTTATAAATATGTATAGTAATATGTATCATTTGACTGTAATGTGACCATACACATATAAAAAAATTATATAGACAAGAAGGGCTATTAGCATTGTGCTTTTGGCTTTTATAGTTGCTAACATTTGTTGAAAATCAAGATTGAGGAAGTTTTTTATTACACTATTTCCTATTTTGAGAAAAATAGTATTCCCAGGTTTATTTGGATTAAGTTTATTCTGTAAAACCTCTCCTCGTGAAAGTCACATGGATTCCGTGGACAAAGTTTATTTGGCTTCCACCCTCCCCCATTTTCTAAGTGCATTAAAGTGTAATCCATTAGAAAAACAAACTTTAAAGACGTTAGTCCCTGCCTACCACACCAATGCAATGTGAAAATGATGGGACTACTTCAGATTTAGCATGACTAGGGAAGCTTATTGCCTACAAATTCATTCCGAATTACATTCAGTGATTAGAAGTCGGAGTGTACTGAATTCGAGTTTTAGATATCAAAGTCTAGTTTGCTTTTCTGTTATCAACCAGAACGATTGAATTTTGAATTCCTGAACACTCTCTTCTAGCTGCTTTCGAAATCTATTGAACAACTGAAGCAACCAGGCAGTCACCTTGAAGAAGCAGAGGAAGAGCTTCAGGGGGACCAGGCAATGCAGGAAGACAGAGCGCCCTCTAGTGGCAACAGCACTAGGAGCGACAGCAGTGCTTGTGTGGATGACACACTGGGACAAGTTGGGGCAGTGAAAGTCAAGGAAGAACCAGTGGACAGTGATGAAGATGCTCAGATCCAGGAAATGGAATCTGGGGAGCAGGCTGCTTTTATGCAACAGGTAATAGGCAAAGATTTAGCTCCAGGATTTGTAATTAAAGTTATTATCTGAACATAAAATGCATTGCAAATTTTGGTAAATGGATATAATTTCCTATCAGTTTATATCTCTCGACTTGATTTGAGTGTTTAAGAGGTTTGATACAAATATATGTATACATCTATACAGAGATCTCGCTACATGCTGATCTCTATATAGATAGCAAGGTTTCGTTGAAGCTTCACTGGTAAGGAAATACCTGTTACACTAACTATGCTACATAATAGTCAAGTAATTAACAGGCTTTAAACACATCCCAAAGCCTACTGCACCAATTATTCTAAGGAAAACGAACTCATTGTTATTTCTTAGTTTATCTGTTGAGATCAGTGACTGCTGGATATGGTCTCCCAGTCTGATCAATGAAGCATTCTATTAGTTTTTTATTTTTTTTTGACATGTAGAATTCAATTTTCACATCACTGTACATACTGTATCATATTACAGTCTTGAACACTGTTAAAGGTAATCTGCCCTTTCCTTCTTTTCTCTTTTTTTTGTTAAGTAGAAATGTTCTGGTGACCATGCCAATAGTCCTAGGTTATTGCATAGATTGCAATTGAAAATATTAGGAATGCAGGAGGTTTTACATGTATAGATGCGACTCATGGCACTATTTTAAATTTTACATTACGTCTCAGCACTGCTCACTTTACTTTTATCTTGTGTAATTTGATGTCATAATCTACCAAAAAAAGATCAAATGGAGCAGATGCAACTGTTGGTAAGAAACAATGTACAGCATTATGGTCCGGTCAGATACCATATCTTATCTACCATTGCAGAAAACACAGTTACAGTATGAATATTATCTGTTACCAAGTCAAAGTCAGTTTGAAAAGAAGGTGTGTCATAGTCTATAATTATTATCAGTAGAATTTCTTAACTATAATTTCATAATGACATGGTATAGACCATCCCATTTTGACAGAAAATTAGGAAAGTTAGGCTTAACAAAAGAATTGACTTGTACATAATGCACCTTCAGAAGGACTATGTCCTTTGATGCTGTAAAATACAAACAACTTGGAAGGCAACAGAAGACAATGTTTATTTAAGTCAGTTCTTTGTCAGGTTCCTGCTGTTCTCCTACAGAAAAGTGATTCTGTGAGGCAGAACAGGAAATGCCTTGTGGAAACAGGAAGTCCAAGTGATTCATGTACTGTGGAATGTAGGAAAAAAAATTCTGAGGATAGTGTTTTACTCTTTCTGTTTTTAAAGGGCACTCTATGAATTGATTTATTGTCTAAGAAAATAACACCACAAGTAGGGAAATTGTTACGGAAGCTTTTCACTGGAACATTTCCTTCATATTCCCTTTTGATATGTTTACCTTGTTTTATGGGTTTACTTTTGTTAAGCTAGTTAAAGGTTCCTTGTATTAAGACCCCTTTAATATGGATAATCCAAATTGACCTAGAATCTTTGTGAGATTTTTTTCTATTAAAATATTTATATTTCTAAATCCGAGTATTTTAAGGTGTAGTATCCTGTTTCAAAGGAGATATAACAGTTTTGCCAAATGTAGACATTGTTCAACTGTATGTTATTGGAACGTGTTGTTTACATTTTGCTGTGACATTTAAAAATATTTCTTTAAAAATGTTACTGCTAAAGATACATTATCCTTTTTTAAAAAGTCTCCATTCAAATTAAATTAACATAACTAGAAGTTAGAAAGTTTAAAACTTTTCCATATAATGAAAGTCCTTCTGATAATTTGACAAATAGCTATACTAGGCAACACTCCCTATCACCAACATATTTTGGTTAGTATATTCCTTCATATTAAAATGACTTTTTGTCAGTTGTTTTGCATTAAAAATATGGCATGCCTAAGATAAAAATTGTATCTTTCCATCTCATAAATATTCATTTTCTTCAAAGTCTTTTTTTCAATCTCATAAAAAAAGGGATAGTGCATCTTTTAAAATACATTTTATTTGGGGAGGAACATGTGGCTGAGCAGACTTTTGTATAATATTACTTCAAAGATATGTAATCACAAACAAAAAAAAATCCTATTTTTTATAATGTCATTTGAGAGAGCTTCATCAGAACAGTTGGTGGACATTAATTGTTTGAATTTGATAGTCTTTGAATTTAATCAAGAAACTACCTGGAACCAGTAAAAAAGAAAGCTGGACTTAAATAGTCTTAGAACTAATTGGTAAATGTCTCTTTTAAAATCTACTGTATTTATTATCATTTACACCCTTGGAGGTGAAATCTTGTTTTGTGTTGTAAATATATTGTTTGTATGTTTCCCTTCTTGCCTTCTGTTATAAGTCTCTTCCTTTCTCAAATAAAGTTTTTTTTAAAAGATCCCCTTTCATACATTTGGCTTTGTGTAAACTTGATATATTTAATCGAATCTGAAGCTTGTACACTAGGTCTTATATACCAAAATCTATCACCATTCTTTGTTGAAACAAGAAAATAAAGATATTTTGAGCAGTTACTTCTAATACCATTAAAAGTAATAAAGCCAACAATAGTGACTTTAAACTCTACATTAGCCATTACCAAATAGCAAATATTTGCAAAAGTCGTTGCCTTTTCCTTTTTCCAGTGCGACCTTTTTCATGATATGTTATCATCTTTGGTATTTAAATCAAAATGTCAACCTTTAAATATAACATTTCATATAAATAGATGTCAGTTACTAACTTTGCTCAACTTAAAACAGAAATTTTAAAAAGCTTAGCATAATCCCTTGAATGTAACAAGCTCTTAATAAATATTAAAATGAATAATTTTCCAAGTACCAAATAATTATGTCTATTACAGTGAAATCCTGAACGACAAATATAAAGTGGCAGTACATAAATTTAAAGAGAAAATAGTGATTAAATGATCTCCCCTTATATGGTAACCATTATTATAATACTAGCACGAAGAACAGGAGCCCAGCACAGGTAAAGACCATGCACATCGCGTCGACCTTGAGGTACCTTATTCCTCTTCTGACCTGTTGTTAGAAAAATGTGTCAGTCAGTGCTTTGCAATGTGTACTGTGTATTCCATTCAACAGATTAAAGCTAGTTGTTTTACTCTGTGATTCACTTAACATAAAGGTTCATTGAGTCGTACAAACTAAAGTTACTGTAGGTTACAGCAGTATTACATTAGCGTTAAGAATTATGGAGCTACAATTGTTGACTATTGTAAAGTGGATTATCATTCTGTAATGCTATGGATTTCATAATTTGTCAGAGTTTAGGAAATACCATTAATCTTAGTCATCATTTCCTGAAATTTGTCTTTGAACTTTGGATAAAATTTCAAGAGTTATTTGGTGCTAGAGATCCTAAAATAGGAATTAAAGAGATCAATTAAATAATGGTTTCACAGGGTAATTCTGATGTCTCAAGTGTTATACAGATTTCTCCTTCTGGCAAGGAAAAGCCACTTTGTTGGTAAAGGTGGTTGCTTAGATGTGGACAGTTACTTTTCATAGATCTGAGGAAGAAGTGTTTATATTGTTTCATACTCTTTTTTTCCCCCCAAAAGATGTTAAGAAATTCATAGCAAGGAAAAGCCACTTTGTTGGTAAAGGTGGTTGCTTAGATGTGGACAGTTACTTTTCATAGATCTGGGAAGAAGTGTTTATATTGTTTCATACTCTTTTTTTTCCCCAAAAGATGTTAAATTCATATACTAAACATTTTTTAGAAACCAACTACTTAATACATATGTAGACTGGCAACATAGTTTGTTTTGTTTCTGTAGTTCTCTGTGATTGTTTTCAATTATTAGAGCATATAATTGAAAGTAACTACAGTAGGTATGGATCATGGGTAAACAATTAAGGGCTTATAATGATTAATAATTAAGGTCAACAAAAATAACTGGTTATAGTCAGAAACTCAAGATGCAAGAGAAAGGAGTTCGAGGTTTTTATTCTCTTTATTATTGCTAATTACTCCATCTTGTTTCCATTTTTTGCTTATTTTTTAAAGAGGTTTTTGCCTTAGGGTTTGTGTACTCATGGGGGTTGGGGAGAGTGAGAGAGACAGAAACAATAAGAGGGAAAGTGAGAAATCACCCCCCCCAGGGGGGATGGCCACACTTCCTCTTCCATTCTCCTCCTGGGATCTTGGGCATCCACAGGTGCCCAGCACAAGTCTCAAGCCCCTGGGTCCGG